CATGAGCAAGGTCAGTATTCGTCGCCAGCACGTCTTGTTTGATCAATTCCGCCGCCAGGTGTTTGTTAAACGGTATAAACGTTTGATCCTCCTGCAACAACGAACGAAACGCCCTGCCGCGACCGCCATCCATGCAGTAGGTGGTGTACTTGACGAGGACGTCCCTGGCAGTGAGGTCGATGCGGGAGACAGAGGCTAGCAAAGCCGCTCGCCACTCCCTGCAAGATGTTGCATCTGTTGGCAACTTCGTGATGGAGATGTTCCTCAAATGCTTGATCTTGTATATGTGGTCCTCAGTCTCGCCTTCCTGCAACCATGGTTCAGGAGGGTCTCCTCCAGGCAATCGCGAGCCGCCACCGACAGGATCATCTGAGCTCTCTGAACCTGCCTCCGAATCACTCGACTCCTTCTTGCGTGGCGTTGCAATCGAGATGGCCTGTGGGGCATGACTTGATGAAGCCTCGTGGATCGTGCCAATAAACCCCCCTGGCGGGTACGCCGGGCCTAGCGTGGCCTTCGGCGCCTTTTGGAAATGATACTCCGCTCCACCAGGTCTTGGGACGCTATCATAGCCATGCGGGGCAACGAACTCAGCTTCTGAGACACTCTTTGGGGTGGTCACTCCATAGATGAGTCTCGGATCAACATGCATTTGATGAACAGGGTTTCCATCAACCATCACCTCACGCGTACCGGGCATCAACAACGGTCTTGGTCCTCCTGGGGCCTTTGGCAACGGAACGTCACGCCTCGTCGGGCTTCCGCCTGCAAGCACCGGCCTTGATACCAATGCGTTCTCCCTGATGGTCGCTACACTAGGTGGGCGCTCAGGAGAGGGATATAGATGCCGTTCATGCGGAGGTGGCTCAAACAAATCCGGGCCATTGTTGGGGTCATCAAGTGTGTTCCGACAGTTCCAACAACTTCCTCGACCAGAAACATTTTGGTTTCCACAAACAGGGCAATATACAACGTTCAACGGAGAAGCACTAGCTACGCTTGGGGCACGGCCACCTAGCTCAGATGCAGTGTCGAAGAGTCTGCCTACGTTTGGGGAGGACCTCAAAGCATCAAGTTCATGCAAGAGTTGTTCAATCCTCTCATCTTTCTCGGCCATGACTCTCTCTGCTTGTTGTCTCGTGTGCTCTGTGCTCAACAGTGTGGCTTGTTGCGATGCTTGCATGTGCATTGCTGCTTGTTCGCGGACTCTTTGCACTTCTCTATTTGCTTGCTCAGCCATATGTGTGGCTTGTTCTATTGCTCGCGCATGCGCTTGTGCAGAGTCTTGAGCGATGATCAGGTCCCTTTGGGCCTGTTCCGCCAAATGCTGTTGTCTGAGCACCTCTTGCGGGGCTTCCCGAGTTACTTGCGATACCCTTTGCTGGGCTTCCGACGATATTGCCTCTTGCTGCTGTTGAATGGAAGTGTGGTACTGCTGCTGGAGTTGTTGTGTATATTGCTGTCTCTCAACCGACACCTGCATGGCAACCTTCTCTCTCTCAGCCTTGACATAGTCATGGACAAGCTGTTCAAGGATGTGAGGTGGGATGTTGCTCTGATTTAGTACATTCAAAGTACGTTGATCATGCAAATGCACCTCTGGCCCTTGTCGGGGTTCACCATGCTCTGGGGGTTCTTCTACCACAGGGATAGCACTGGACCGACCCCGTCCCTTTTGAACTATCTGTCCTCCCGGCAATGCCAAGTTGCTTGAACTCGACTGGTCTGGATTCTCCATGCTCTTGTCGGGCGAATCCTGGGGAGGCGAGGATGATGAGGTGGTGTAAGCGCTATCGCCAGGGCCTATAACTCGAAAAGGTGTGGCTGGAGTGATCCTCTTCATTCACACAACTTCAAGCAATCTTCAATGTATGCAATATGACTCTTCTCACGACCAACCAAGCAATGTCAACAACAAAATTATAAACGAGAACAAGATGTTTCACAAGTAACTGAAGTCTCTGTCACAAACGCTCTTTTGTCGCCACACGCGGAGCGAAGTCCGCGAATTTCAAGCTCGTCACGCGCACAAGGCAGCGAATTTGCGACGATCGCGCACGGCGCGAAGCAACTCAAGTCAATCTGTAACAAATAGACCAACGATCAACAAGATCGCAACAATCCCTTTCAACACAATGCTCAGTCGATCAATGAGATGCAAGATGCACCTTATTCAACTCAGAGATCCTTCAAGTCTTCGGCAACTGGTACCGATCTCATGTCTTTCCCCAATTCTTGGATCAATTCGTGCAGTTCGCTCAACGCGTCGTGAGGCGTAGTTCCAGCCTTGATGGTCTTCGTGCGGTGCGCACGCGCCCGACGAGCCTGCACTTGCTGCACCTCACGCAAAATCTGGGGCTGGTCGTCGATGTAGATGATTGCGCCGCTCAATGCTATCAACTTTGCTTTGGAATGGAAGTGTCCCGTCACCGACTTTCCGTGGAACTCGTCCGCCAGCAGCTTCTGACGGGTGATAATCTTGTCCGCAAAAACAATGCCCGCCTCTTCCTCGATCCTCGTGAGATCTTCCAACGTTTCCCTCTGGGTCTTGATGTTTGATGCGAATGACACAACAATCAAATGGAACCCAAGGGACCTTGCCTCACGGAGGCACGCAATGCTTGCAGCAGACAAGGGCTGACGTGGGAACCTCAATGTCTTGTGATAGTCAAGTGCTATCACAGGCACAGTTCCGTAGGTTGGGTCCAACGGCGGCGGAAGTTCTCCCCCTCGACTGGCCAACGACCGTTCAACTTCTCTATGTGGCTCCCGGTGGGATGCAGATGACGATGGCAACGGTGACGGAGGCCTTGGAGGCGTCGGCACACGCACCCCAGGTGAACCCTTGGGACGCGGTTGGAGTCTAACAGGTTTGACCTCTTGCGTGAGCTTCGGACGGCTCTCCGATGCGTCTGCAATGGCCAACTGCTCGGTCGATGGGCGAGGTACCGATGCTGATCTGAGGTCCACAGGCAAAGGACGGGGGCGGACCGGTGGCAACGGCGGCCTAGGCAAAGCTTCGAGTTTCTGCCTTCGTCGTTCTGCTTCGGCCTCCTCTTCCGCCTCCCGTCGACTCTTCGATTTTGCAACGGCCAATGTTCTTGCCTCGGTTTGAGGCGATAGAGACGTTTCCGGTGGCGAGGTAGTTGACGACGGCTTCGATCTCGTGCTCCTGAGTTCCTTGGCCTGCTCTCTCAAGTGCTTAGCTCCTTCCCGGAGAAGCCTTCTTGCCTTCCGGCGGGATTCCGGCGTGGATTCCTCCTCCGCGATCTCTGTCGCCTCTGCTTCCGGCGTGTCTGCCGGCTCTGTGGCCTCTGCAGCCGGTTCTTCTTCTTTCTGCTCCTCGTAGTCCGGCTCCTCCTCGATCTTGACCTCGATCAACTCGGACGCTTCGTTCCGACCTGTGGCACTCAGGGCTTACTCTCTCTCCTCCGTCTCACAACCAACACGCTCAACCGATGGAGAAACACGCGATACAACTTCAGGAGGAGAGTCAACGGGCCTCCAATGCTCGGGTCCGGCAAGATCTCTTGGGTCAGGATCCGGAATCCACACCCACGCTTTCTTCCAGTAGCCGCCCCGCGTCGGCGGGTCCGTGACTGGAGGGCCCGACGAAGGGGCTGATCCTGCTCCTTCCTCAAATTCCTCCGACTCCTCGTGCTCGGCCTCCTCACGCTCCTCAACAACAACACGCCTTGGGAGACCTCTGTGAGACACAGTTTCTGTGACTCCAGGTGGTGGCCCGTGTGGCACTCTTGGATGTCGTCTTGGGCTTGAGGAGCTCTCAACAGAAGGCGGGTTCGCCGGCTCACGCGGTCGCCGACGATCTGGAGGTGGACCCGACGGTTCAACTGGCCTTGAACGAGTGTAGTATTTCGACTCTGGCGGGGGCGAAGAACCTCTGGTCAGATGCTCCACCTGAAGTCCAGCACGCTCACGCTTTCTCTGAGAAGGGCGGTAAGGGTCACCGCCCCTAGCCCGTCTCTCACGGGGTCGTGATCGATCGGCAGCCGCTGCGGGAGATCGCGAGCGGTCCATTCGCGCCAAGGCGCGAGCAAGGGAGCAAAAGGTGTAGTTGTACTTGGTCTTGATCAATCAAACAACTATGTCCTTGGACCTTGTGACTCGACCCTTGACTTACAAGACAATGAGTTGAACTCTCAGTGCACTCTCTGGTCTCTTTCTCTCTGTTCACACGATCCCGCAGCTCAGGGTGTCTCGGCTGCGGCTGATAACCAGTAGATTCTTAGATCTGTGTATATGTGCTTCCAAATGTGAGCAATGTACAGCAAAAGTCACGATACGATGCAACGAGCGATCGGACCCAGGCTGCCGCACGAGTTTCCTCTCACACTTGAGCCAAACGAAGTTTGTGTTTGACTTCCGTCTCTGATGTCTATACAGCAGTGCTTTCACTTAAGGTTTCGTGTAACGGTATGGCATTGTTGCCACTGCTATTCCAGAATGCTATTGCAAACTGCAATGCAATGCTTACACACAGCATCAATTTCCAAAGCTACCAAGCAAAGGGAAAAGCTGGTAGCCAACGCTATCTCTCACATGTTATAAACCATGGTTCTAACCGAGGGTGGTTTTCTTAAAATAGTATGAATTAGATAGATAAAGAAATTGTTTACTGACTGTTACATATATATATAGGACAGACCCGAGAAGAAAGACCACACAAATCCACGAGTCGGGCGGCCACTTTCCACCAGTCGGCCTCACCCAAAAAGGCGAAGCGAAACCGGGCGGCTGCCAACGATTTGACCCTCTGGGAGTCCAATCGGCTACCTATATGGACTCAAGTTGAACTAGCGAGACCACAGGTTGCTTTTCCTTCATCACCACGGCAGCACACACCATCCACCTGTGATGAAGAATAAAGCTAGAGGACTCGAGTCTAATTATTGGAATTTCATGGAACTTCTCGAACACTTGGGTAACCAAAGATCGAATTTCGACCATCCTCCGCCGTCCAGACGCGCCACTAGACGCGCTCAAGAGGTGATCTGCTGGGCCAATGTGGCCGCCTCAGCGAAGAGCAGCGGCCAAGCAGCAGACGCCCACATATCACGCACCAGTTTGGACCTTTGGGAGGTTGAACACCTGGTTTACGGTGCCAAACTTTAGATGAACACTCTGACTCTCCCCCTCATTTCCCTGCAGGGATCATGGAAAAAAAAAGAACACAGGAGTGCGCACGACATCATCCCCAAGGGGACCGTCCAAAACAACCAACGCGTCGAACCCGTCCGTCCGTCCAACGGAATTGAAAGGCCCAGAAAAAGCGGGTCCTGGACCCGCAAAGGATTGATTCGAAGGAAAACCCCCAAGTAAACATCCATAATTGATAACTGATAACATAAAATGATGGTAAATGAACTCCTCTATGTCTTCCCAAAAATACATCATGCCCAGCGCGGCCCCTTGAGTGTTTCTGTTTCGCATCTGGCCTTTGAAGGCTTCATGACCTCAGCTGTGACAGCACTGACCGCGCGCATCAAGCACAGCTTCAGCGCTGATAGCACAATGTCATGTCTTAGAACTTGAGTGAAACGTGTGGAAACTACCCGGTGGATAACAGCGTTGAATATGATTGTACACGGCTATACTAGGGCCAGGGCATGCCTCCCTTCAGACAGCTTTCCCCATGCTCTGAACGTGTCTCTGTGATTGCTTGGCAAAAGGGTCCCAAATGATACAAGCAATCCATGGACCAACTTGTCGATGTTGTTTAATCAATTTCGACTCGCCGAACTACCAACTCTCCCGAAACCTCTTCATCCCGTCACCCTCCCCAAAACGGCACCGACGGCCAACGGCGCACCGAGCTGTCGCGCTGTCGCAACGGATTCGGCCATCGTCCCAGTGGCCAGGACCAACGGTTTCGAAGAATGCGCCACCACAGCGCCGTTGGACAACCGCCTCGGCCACGACATCGACGGGAGGGATAGTGGAGGCTTTGACACGCAAAGCCTCTGGACAAAATATTCAACAAATGGTCATCTCTGGTCCACACAAGCATAGTGGCCTTGGCCACTCAACCCTCTTTGGGGTGAAAAGGCTTTCGCGTTTGGTTATTTTTCTTTGGATCACGAGCTGGAGCCGATGAAGCACTCCATTTGATGGACTCTCCAAAGCTGGCCCGTTTGGACCCTAGGACCGACTAGGACCGACCCTCCCTCAGTGCAAGAGGAACTGCATGCATCCCAGCAAGCTCGCTATGCCATAGCTGATGCTCAAGGTGCTTGATTTCTCCTCTTCTTTTTTGGGAAGCTCCTTGAGGCGTCCCCAAACCAAAGTGCTCCGAGTGCCGGACCAAATGCCACTGGTGCTGCATTTGTCTGCCGCACCACCACCGCAGAAGGCCGAGCTGAGACCCAAGCCGCTACTGATGTCATTATGCGCCGAATTCACCGGGCAGCCATGGCCATCTCCCGCTTGCATGCAAAAGACACACAGCTTGCCGCAGCCCGAAGGGTGGCTCGCCGGGTTTTTGCGGCACTGGGGCTTGGGATTCGTCACAAACTTCCCCGCACGCATGAAGGCCGGCGCACGGTCGCGCGCATTCCCGAAGGCGTTCTCCCACTTCTTCCAATAGTCCTGGGAGTTGAATCCGCCTGTGGGAAGGATATCCACCTTGTTGGTCGTCATCAAAGTCTCTGCGGTGTCCTCCTGCTTGAAGTGTACCTCTGGTGCGTCCTGAGGCCGAACCTCTAGAAATCCCTTGGCCGGTCAGCCAAAATTTGTGAACTCAGAACGAAAACCGAACAAATTGGTTCTGAGCCCGCGTTTTTGAGCTGCCACTGTTGTCTTCCTCTGTCAAGCCTTTTACTGCATCCGTTGATCAACTCTTTTTGGCAGCAGCTATCTGCAGGGCTGTCTGAGCAATCGGCAAAATGCGTGTACTGGAAAATGGAATAGCTATATCATATCTACGCTTCATGTTAAAGGTCGCTCTTCGCTGTAAACAACCTTTTAAGGCCGTCGGTTAAAAGGCTCGCTCGCATCCCAGGTGACCTGGTGGATGCGTCCGGAAAACATCCCGAGTCCGGCCAGGTATTTCGTCAATGTCTCGTCTGCTTTCGGGAGTTGTCTGTATAAATGTTCAAACGAAAGGTGTCAAATTCACGGCGGGAAGAGGGGGAGGCAGGTTAAGGTTACACTGCTGGAAGTGTTTTTTTCCGATAATTGGTATGAAAACATGTGCATAGCTCCAATGTGCATCATGTACATTGTAAGGAACCATTTTCTGCATGTCAACATGCAGAAGAAACTTAGTAAACAATGGTGTCGGAATCTTCAGAACTGGAGGCTGTTCGGTTCAGGAGAAGTGGAGAAGTCTTTGTCTAAAAGAACACGATTCCCTTCAAAACCCATATGTGTGTTCCTTGGGGATCTTAGGACTGGCCCAAACGATTTGATCTGAGTACTACTCCTACAAATGACAGTTTTCACAAGAAGCTGGTGCTCGCAAGCTGCTGAAGCACATGTTTATGGTGCCCCGAGCGTCTCATGTCGATTCTGTTTTGCGTAGCCTTTCTCGTAGATTCTGTAGGCGATGACATGCTCGCTGCAACCCTTACACTTGCCAACTTTTCGTTTGGGACCCCATTGCATTGAGACCTCTACAAGAGTATGTTCCTCTCAGGGCAAGAGTGTGGGTGCATTTTTTGTGACTGTGATGATGAAAGTTCCATGAAAGTGTGGCTTGGAGGCATAACGGCATAACTTTGAAAAAAGTCTGGCTCGGTGACTATGATGGTCAAACATCCATGTGGGATGTTGATAACAAACGTTGATCAAGGGTGGGCGAATGTCACGGTTACGACGGACATGTTTTGCAAGACATCAGTGGGAATAGGTCCTGGTCCAAGATGATCCAACATATAAAGTAGTACAAAAAGCTGTGCTTCCCATGCCAATGATGCATAAAACACTGTCGATTACGGCATTCTGTGACCCTGCCGTACTCAAAATCACATCCCCGCCAACACCTGCGTGATGCTTGATTCTTTTGACTCCTTTTTTTGTCAGTGGATCCCTTTGTCAGACGATGCTTGTATCATACTTGTCGTCCAGGGTTACCCTGTTTTCAACTGTGGGCTGGTTGCTGTGAACGCCGCGCTGGACTGACCCTATGGCGATAGGGGTATCAAATGATGGACAGCCCGGATTGAAACGTGTTCCCGGTGTTCCACCATACAAAGCTTCACAGCTTATCTTTTGCTGCATGAAGTACCTTCTATGCAAGTCCCTTCCCTTCTATGCTGCATGAATGTCTTCACACCACTTGTGTGTGTGTGTATGACTATGTTGATTTTAACATGTTTGAGTCTCTTTGACTCCTCTTGAATCCGCAAAAAAAATGAGCATGCAATTAACTTCAACTGTTTGAGTAAATACATTGCTAAAAAGGCACAGGAGTGAGACGAGTTCCATTTAAAGGAGCTACTGATATATATATATACATAAAACATGGCGCATTTTGGGAATGAATATGGATCCTAAATTTTAAACTATGGAATATACTATATATAATCCATAGTTGCAATTGCGATCAGCAAGCTTCTGTGTGCATTTGGTCGTTAACGAAGTGAAGCAGCTGCAAAATAATCAGAAGCAAGCGTAATACTTAAATAAAAAACATTACATTAGTCTTAATGATCTTGTAGTCTTAGTTATCCACCACCAACTTCCTCTAGCTTCAACCACTACTGGCTTCCTTTCCTATCTACTGACATCCTGCGCTCTGGTCAAAACCACTCCAAAACCCACAAATTCTCGCTGTCAGCATACCACCCCCTCCACCAGGCTTTTGGGGCCCCCTCCTTGAAGGACACTGCGTTGGTCTGCAGCTTTACCGCATTGATGCCCTTTAGCTTGTGAAATGCGATGCTCTTGGCGTCGTACTCCTTAAAAGCTGGGACTTCTTTGTTTAACATCTTCTCGGGCTTAAGTGCATTGCCATCGGTCCACAGGCCGCTTCCATGACAGAACTTGTTGTGACTCAGCTTCATGAGCAGGACCCATGGAGAATCACCATCCATCCTCACCAGGACCTTGCCAACTTCCGGTAGTTCTTTGACCTCGGCCTCCTGTATCTCTATGAAACTGACATTGGCTCCTTGTTCCCTTCCTTCAGGGCTTCGACGCATGACCTCGGGCCGCTCCGCCGCCGCTTCTCCAGTGGCGGAGATGCTCAGCCGCGCTGCTTGGGTGCCCGGGTGCAAGGCCCGTTGCTTGGGCGGATGGTTGGCACTGGCGCTCGCCAACAGGAGAATCAGCGCTCGAATCGCCATGTTCTGGCTGATTGATATGCAATTGGTTACTCTTCTGGTAACCTGGGATCTGAAATTGGCATACCCTCGGCTGGAATGGGGCTGAACCTACTTGAGCCAAGCGCCACCACAGCGCCGTTGCACAACCGCCTCGGCCACGAAATCGACAGGAGGCCGTTTTGGGCGCTCTCCAAGTTAGGGATGGAAGCTTCTTGCTGACACGCAAAGCCTTCGGACAAAATATTCAGCGAATGGTCATCTCCAACCACACAAGCATCATAGTGCAAGGGCCAAAAATGGATTTCACACTCAGAACCTCAGCATTTTGTCGTTGATTTGGATCCCCTTTGCCTCTGTCCTTTCTTCGTGGCTGCGTGGCTGCGGAAAAAATTTGAGGCTTTGGCTGGATCTTCTGAGCGCTGAAGAGGTCCTTCCACGCGTAACCTCAAGGAAAGTGGACCATGACTGAAGCAGTTCCATGTCAGGGTAGTTTTGTTGGAGGTGTGGGATGCTCGTGGATGATCCATCACTTCAGCTTCTGCTTCATTGGAGTTGGTTGATTTTCCTGGTTCACTATCCGATCCCCTCCCCCAGCTCCCACTGAACGACGTCTTGCTGCGAACGTCCGACGGGACGTTCGAGGAGTGAATTGGACTGATACTGATACAAGTCACCAAAAAGAATCAAACTACACAGGCATAGACCCTGGTGTACAGGGAAAGAGCTCATAGTGTCATAGTGCCTAAGCGAAAAATCCCAATGTCTCATAGTGTTCGTTGCAATGAGCGGTGCCAAGGGCATTGCTCACCTTGCCAGGGATGACATCATGTCATGCCAGGGACCAGCACCAGCAGCTGCACACAGCACACAGCACCAGCACCCGTGCCAGCACCAGCACCCGCACCAGCACCTGCACCAGCACACCCCAAGAAAACGCCGATCCAGCATCAGAACCCGTGCCAGCACCTGCACCAGCACGCCCAAATAAAACGCCGATCCAGCACCAGCACCAGCACGGGCAAAACGGAACGGCGATCCAGCGCCACACCATTGAGAAGTAAGAACCCCTAAAGCTTGCAGCTATCTGGGGACAAATAAGATTCAGGTCAGGCGAATTCTTGATCATCCTTGAGTGCCTCGTTGCAAGGTTCATGCACTGTGGGAAGCCTGTACTACTAGTAACAAGAAGCTAGTAGAAACAAGTGCATCGCTACTAGTAACAAGTGCATCGCTACTAGGAGCAAGAATTCAGTGCAATCTGCGGCCACCATTGTTTTTCAACAGCCTTTTCGGAAAGCCCCGCGGCTCCGTCCGGGTACGCGGCAAACGCACACGGCCGGCCGTTTTCGGTGTAGTTCCCAAAAACACCCCTTGTTTGTTTAGACCCAACAGCGTGGTCCGCATGGTTGTGACGCACATGGTTCTTATCGTAAAAACTGGTCCAGCCTGCGAGAGGTTTCGGCAAGCTGTCTCTGTAGATCACTTTCTTCGTGGTCATCGGCAGGTTGTTCGTGAAGACATAAACACTCTCCTGGCCGAGCACGATCGAAACGTAGCAAACACAAACGCCGGGATGTTTCTTGTCTGAAAGCTTGGGGTCGGGGCAAACGAGGCCAAACTGTGAATCGAGGCACCCTTGGAAGCATGAATCATTGGAGTATATCATGATTACCCTCCTGCAAAGGACTACCATAACCCACTCAGTTGCAGAAGGACATTGTCTTCCTTGTTGGTCAATTCTCCGGATCCATGGGATCGTCTGCTGTATGTGTGTCATCATGTGCATCATACTGTATGTGTGTCATCATGTGCATCATACTGTATGTGTGTCATATCTCATGATGACACTTCAGGACCTGGTTCACCAGCCTTTTTTGAAAAGGGATGCCCACCAAGAACCACCAAGAACCCACAAAGTGCGGCTTCGCTTGTGCCATGTTTTGCATGGTTTGCTTTTGCTTGTGCCACTCCTGAAAGGGTCCTCAACACCTGAAAGGAGGATCCACGTCACCGACGAAGCCCGAAACGACCCCCGGTGCCACAAAGAATTCGCCGCACCAGTCCCGATCGCTCTGAAAGAACCCCCCATGCCGAAAAGCGAAAATGGACAATTAAATTCATACTAAACCCATCCACAAGGGGGTCTCCGGGACCTTTTATTAATTTTCAATGTTCAATGTTCAATACACACCTATATAGTATGTATATAATATATACTATATTACAATGTATATATATATATTATATATTTGTATATATATATATATTTACTCAGTCGCGGATGTTTCGTGCAGTTGGCCGAGATTGGTGGACAAGTTGGACCAGTTGCTTCTACAGGATGTTGACATCACCAAGAGCTGTACGGGTTTTTTCTAGACGGAATGCACTTGTGTGGGGGGGAACGGACAGCAGATCACACTAGTGCAGGTATCACCAAAGGCTGATTATGTCAATGAGATCATAGGCATCACAGGCACAAGCTGTGACCTTCTCCAAGTCCTGGTGCATCGATCCTCAAGCTGTTTTGAGGTGGAATGCCGGAGGATCCTGCCCCAGTTCAGCCTCTGAGTCCATCATGTGAAATGCGAAAATGAACGAGAATGACCACTTCTTGTTCCAAGCTGCTCTTCTAAGTCATACATGTTCGATCATGTCCGCCTTCCATCTGTTCGTGAGTCGGAGCTTCCGGTGAAACCCTAGGTCCAGTTTTCTGACGTGCAGGATTTCTCTGAAAACGCCTGATGACCTCGACAGCGCGCAGGTCATGGCCTTCCCACGTCTGGGTCCGCGGTAGAAGACAAATTGATCCTCACCAGGGGAGAACGAAGCCTCGTCAAGCGTTCGCCCACTCGTGTGGATGTGGGGGTGTTCGCGGCGAGCCACCGTCTTAGACATGCATGCAAAAAGATGCACAAAGACCTTTGAACGTCAAAGGATGTCATAGAGTGAAGGGTCCCAGGGTCACAGCACTTGTGATGAAATTGAGCGAAGACATGTGAAGACCCTTCAGTGGATCAAGGTGACCAAATCCACATGGAAAGCGTTCTCAGCCACTACATTGGTGCATCTTGGTGCGGGTGGTGGCACCTCACACGCTTCACATCCCTCATGGAGGAACCTGTTCATTTTAGGGATCGACTAGGGTTATGGGTGTTTTGACCCACATCCCGGATCACCACACACCCGAACACCGGCGCCAATCGTCTCCTTGTGGGCCGCCTGCAACAAGCAGCTGGGTGCAACATAGCAGAGGGAACTTCACCACTTCCACCTACAATAGCAATGGCCTCCACCAAATAGCGATGGCCTCCACCTGATAGGG